TAGATTAAATTAATCTGTCCAGGGGGTACAAAGCAATTAAAAGTGTACTCATCAGTACACACCATCACATACATTATACACTCATCAATTCTTCCTGTAGTCTAATACACACCATCACATACATTACACATTCATCAATTCTTACTTTAGTCTAATACGCACCATCACGTACATTACACATTCATCAATTCTTCCTCTTGCCTAATACTCACCGTCACGTACATTACACATTCATCAATCCTTCCTCTTAGCCTAATACGCACCATCATGTACATTACACATTCATCAATCCTTCCTCTTGCCTAATACTCACCGTCACATACATTATACACTCAACAATTCTTCCTGTAGCCTAATACACACCCATTGTTCACTTATTAATTCTTCAACTAAATTAAACCAAATTAACACAAACATTTATTGGAACAAATTACGATTAACACTAGGAGTCATAAAAGCCAAAATGCATTTATCCAGATAGAATAGTTCGATTACTGTCTGCCCATTACGATTTTAGAGACGGTGGTGCAAAGGAGCCGGGAGGAAGGGGGTGCTGTGAAACCTTATAAGTGTAGTGAGTGTTGGTATAATAAGCCTAAAGTACAGATGTAGTGTTGGATCACCTAGCCTAGAGCCAAGTGCATAAAAATTATCGTGAAAGTAAAAATATCGATTCAATTTTAAACTTAAATTGTTTGTAAATTAAGCTATTTTCTGTTATATCACCAACGTTTTTAATAATAATAAAAAACTCTTAAATCAATGAAGACTCTAAGTTAAGAAACCAACAAATATTTTTACAGTTTTATTGTCTGTACATTTCATTTTATAGTTTCACTACATAGACTAACAACAATATTAGGTTATACTTTTGTTGCTAAGCAACATGACATAAAAGCCATTGTTGGAACATAGTGTTACCGAAACACACTAACTTTTCTATATATTAGAAGTTGTTAATCTAACTAAGTTTTACCAGTAATTATTCTATGAATACGCCACGAATTCATTTCATGAATGATCTTAATTTTGATTGGCTCATAAAGGAAGTTACGAACCGTCTGACTGCCTCGACTGCACTTTTCTGCCTCTTTGTTGGGCCCTCCAGTGGCACAGCGGAATGTCTGCGGACTTACAACGCTAGAAACCTGGTTTCGGTACCCTTGGTGAGCAGAGCACAGATAGCCAATTGTGTAGCTTTGTGCTTAATTTCAAACAAAGTCTTTGTTGGTCAAGCTTAATTTCGCAAAATTTAGTTATTTCAGTTATCTACGAAATGTGAGGTTAGGGTATACTATTGGGGGGGGGGGGGGGTAGTACATGCCTCATCGTTTTTGACGGGCTATACACTAGTAGAAAATAATATCTTTAAACACAATTGTACATCGAATAATCAATATATGATATTATGCGAAACTCGTACGTAAATTCGAATAATAATACTAACGAAATAACTTACTCCACAGTTTTATATTAACAAGACTCCAGCTCTAGTGCAGAAGTCAAAATTAGGCTAACAAAAAACGTAAAAACTGCTAACGTAGAGTAGATCTGTAGTGATTTATTTCGTATCTATAAATATGGCTTTTTTAATGGAATATTTCAACCGACTAATGCGTAATAAGACAATAATATATTTCCATTCTTTACGTAAAGTACACCTGTATTAAGCCTTCTTTCCTTAAAGTACGTTATTTGTTTTACCACGTGCGTAACGAGAGGAACATCTATATAGTCTTTGTCTTTCACGTTGAATGCAGACATGATTAGAGTTACTCTTAACAGCTAACAGATGGCAGTAACAGCGTAACTACTGGCGGATTACTTTCTTGTTTGACATAAAACACAGAGCTACATTATGGGCTACCTGTGCTCTTTTCATCACGGGTATCGAAACCCGGTTTTTAGCGATATAAGCTTACAGACTTACCGCTGAGCCACTGGGGGAGGGAGGAGACAAAGTATTTAATATTTCATTAAAATATGTAAGGAAATTATTTGTTTATCTTATTTGTTTTATACACTTTTAAATTAGTCAACACGAACTCTTTTTATATAATATTTCTAAAACTATAATATATTCTTTGTGTTTTGTTTGAAATCTTATTTCCTGGAACTATTTTAATTATTTATGTCAGTCACGCGTTTAGACTCGTTTCTCGGTTTGAGCACAAAGCTGAACAGTGTGGACTGTCTGCATTGTGCCCATGGTAGGTATTAGACCCCAATTTGTAAAGCTATAAATCCTCCTGTTTTCTTTTTTAATTACAATTAACCTCGACTGTTCACCAACAACTGTGACGCATGTATTGGACAAAAACAAGGAATCCTGGTCATATAACACTTAACATAGCATAGGATGGAAAAAAAGGCTTCACTGAAAAAATAAGTAAGATATTCAATTTCCGTACAAAATCGAAAGAAAATTTCGATTTTCCTTCCCGAGAACATTAACAAGTCATGTTTAAATAAAGTTTCAAACGTACACTCCAAGAACGTATCAGAAATATAGCCTTTGAAGAAGAGTAGTAGCAAGAAAGCCCTTGCTGCAAAAATGAAAAAATATAACAAATAGACTAGTTTTTGTGGAAGAATGTGTATCCTGGTGGCACAAGTTGATCTGGACAGATGACTCTAGGTTTGAACAGTTTGGTTCCAACCATTGTATGTATGATGTTTGTTGAAGAGTCAATGAGAGGTTGTCCTTGTGTCAAAGATCAAGTCTGCAAGAGTATTTGGGGCTCAGAATATTTAACATTTTCCCTACGTTGTTGGATCACCGCCACAATATATGAATCTATTTTACTATTTCCCTCTGGAAATAAACTGATTGGGCACATTCTCATATTTCAAGGACATTACACCAAATACACTTCCAAGAACTGTTGAGCTTATCTTACAAAGAAAGAAATTTAAAGCAAATGGAATGAACGCCACAAAATCCAGACCTTAACCCCATTAAACAAATCTAGGATTTAATGGAATCCATTCTTGACAAAACTACCAACTGTACTGAAAAAGCCACTGGACGCAGCTTCAAGAAAAATGGAATCAAAATGCACTATATACTTTGAGAAAGCACATGGATACAATGTCGCAAAGATATCAGTTGTTATCAGAGGCAGCATTTGTTCAGTGATAGCCCCTTGCGAAGCTCGATCTTGGTGCCCTATCTCCTATTCTTATCAGTAATACAACGCTAGGGTACTTTCAAATAAGGCAATTACTACTCATTTTTCAATACTAATCGCAGAAACAAGGCTTAAGGAGACCGGTAGAATGTTATAAATTTGTAACTAAAAAAAGAAAATCACGTGAGAAACAAGATATGGGTAATTATACCCTCAATGGATGATAGTGTCTTAGCTTTGGGAGGCTAGAAAAGTTTTATAAAAATAAATTGTAAACGCGTCGCTTACAGACGAGATTCTTTGGATAATTTGATTTGTAATACAATACTATGATGATTGATTTTAATTTTGTTGTCAGATTGGTAGGATCGTAGGTTGTATCTACAGAAATATTGAATACAAGTCTAAATAGATTATAATTTCATTGTATAAGTCATTGGTTAGGCCACATTTGGAGTATTGTGTTCAGTCTTAGGGTCCTTACCTTAGGGAGGACATTGAAGTGTTGGAAAGGGTTCAGAATGGTGCTTGGGATGGAGGGGTTGTCATCTCTTAAATTGTTTTCTCTTGTAAAAAAAAAAAGAAGAGATAGATGGGATCTGATTGGGGTGTTTAAAATTGGGAAGGGAATTGATAGTGTTGATGTATCATCTTTTTTCATATTTAACAGTGAG